AGCAGGACACTGGGAGAGGGGTGAAAACGCCCGGTTGATGATTCTTCCCCCCAGGCCTCTCGACACAGCCCATCTGGCGCAAGCTGTGGGACGATGTGATGAAAACCAGACCGCCCAACTCGGAGGTGAGGAGACGCTCTGGTGGGAGAAGGGGCTCGACACGGGAGCTCTGTTTCTGCTGTTTTCCATGAGGTTTTCTTTTTGGCTGCCTCCAAGCAATTCCTGGCACTTGTTTATAAGTGTTCGTAGAGCTCCGGACCAAGGCATGACCCTGGTAATACAAACATTTTGGGAAATGGGATTTATAAAGAAGCATAGTGCACAGCCACACCCTTCATCCTCCAACAATAAGTTTGCCAAAAGAGCAAATCTTTGTCTTCAGAGATTCTCACAGAAACAGAGGATAAAAACAGTATCTTCTATCATGTTTACACCTACAGTGCCAAAAAAAAATGCTGGTGTCTTAGAAAGCATGAGAAAAATAGAAAAGACTGAGTTTGGAGAATGGTGTTTTGTAGAAAAACTGAAGCAGCTTCATTGCTTCATCATCGTAGAAGAATCATTAACAAACAACTTAATGACAGCCAGTCAGTAGATGCTGGAAGAAAATTGCTGGTGACGTGGTTTTTAATAGGCAAAAAAATGGCCCAGCTCCAAACCACTGAGTGTTTAAATTAGGCCAGAAGGAGGATGAAGAGAGCAATGGGATTCACTCAGGTTTTCAAGGAGTACACTGAGGAAGCATGCTGAGAACTAGAGGTGGTTTCAGTGGAGCTAGCAGGAGGGGTGTTTTGGAACCAGGTTAGCAGACAGCAATTTAACTTAAAAAGAGCACAAAAAATGGATGCTGACTTTTTAATCCTACACTCTGTTGTTCAATTGCAGAGCATAACATGCTGGAGGAAGAAGTTCCTTGAAACATTCTTCTCCAACGTACTCCATGGTGTCCTGGACGTTTCCTCTGACTGGCGCCTCCACGACCGTCACTTCTCTCCGCTGCTGCACAGCTCCCCGCACGTTTCCCAGCTCACCCTGTGCAACATGCTGCAGGGGGCTGTGGAACTCACTGCCCAGCACAACCACGAGGTGCTGGAAAACCTGGCTGCCTCCCTGCGGGTCCTGAAGTTCCAGCACCTCCTCTCCTGTGACCAGTCTATCAGGCGCTCATTGGTTTTGCTCCTCCACCGGCTGATCCACCACGGCTCTGTCAGCCAGGTGTCCATGTGCTCCTGGCCTGTTCCTGACACGGTTCTTCTCATCCTCATCCTCACCATGAGCGCTGGGTTTTGGCGCTCAGGAAATGCCCTCGCCTGTCAGGGCAGCCCTTGTGGCCTTTGCAGAGAGGAGGACCAGGCCCAAAGCCAGCAGTCAGCACAGGAGGGAGCAGAGAGGGGCTGTGATGCTGAGCGGGAGGGGAGCGGTGCTGAGAACCAGAAGAGATCCCCGAAAGAGGCTGATGCTTGCATGACCTCTGTCCTCTCTGGCCCCAGAAGTGCTCCCCTCCAAAACCCAGCGTGTGAAGAGACAAGCAGTGAGGTGTCCTGTGGCCACACCAACATTCAGGGTGGCTCTTCCCCTCGTTCCAGCTCACAGCAGCTGTCCTGTCACCCTGTTCCTCGAAAGACACGCAGATGGCAGAAACCTGCAGTGGGGAGGAAACGTCGCTGCCTCAGGCGGAGCAGGGGACACTATGCTGACCCAGAAGATCTCTACGATTTTGTTTTTACTGTTGCTAGAGAGGATAATTCAGGGTTACTGGACAAAACCAGGACCACAGAGGGAGAGAACACTGAGAATTGGACTAGTTCTTCCCCAGGATCTCCATGCACTGGCCATGTTGGCTGTAAGAAAAGAGGAGGACCTGCTGCAACCCTTTCTCTGAAAGCTGCTCACCGCTTCCGAAGTGTCTCCACGCTGGAATTGTTCTCCATTCCTTTGACTGGGGAGACATGTCGGACTCTGAGTAACCTGCTGAGCTCCTGGGTGTCTTTAGAAAACCTGGTTCTATCCTACAATGGTCAGTGCTGTGAATAGTACACTTCCTTCTAGCCCCGCTCTAATGGTCTGGCTTACTGCTTGGGTTTACCCTGCATTAGTTTTCACGGAAGGAGCATTTTAGGAGTATCGGTGCCCCATCTTGAGAAAGGCGTTGGGTGAGATTTAATGAGTGTGAGGACTTAAGGGAGAGAATGGGATCCCTCTGTCCCAGAGCAGCCCCTGGTTTTGTGCTTAAACGCCTTTCAGAGAGAGCAAAGGGAAGAGCCAGATCTGCATCTCCCGTGCACAGAGCGTATCTTAAGGATGTGTGGATAAAGTGGTCTGTGGGTTTAGCCTTTGACTCGGGCTGCCATTGCTGCAGCTCCTGCACACACAGCTGACACTCTTCTGTACAAATGCTGTTGCAGGCCTGAATGCCAACATCTCCTGCATCCTGTCCGGGCTCCGGGCCCTGTCGCGGCACCCCGAGTGCCGGTTCCGCGTGCTCCGCGTGAGCGACATGTTCTCGCACATGCCCTGCATGGAGCTCGTGCGCTGCGCCCTGAGCGCCCTGCCCCAGCTCCACACGCTCTCTGTCAGCTTCGACCTCAAAAACCAGCTGGAGGCCACCAGGCTAGAGGCGAGTCCAAGCTGCAGTGAGGCAGAAATCCCAGGTAGGAATCGATCTGAGTGATGGCCAGGACTTGGCAGGCAGGTAGAGCTGTAAAGCCTTGCTACAGGCTTCACTCAACACTATTATGGTGGGTTGTTCTTAGGCAATTACAGCCTTACCTTTCTGAGTTAGTTCCTGTTGCAGTTTGTCCCTTCCAGTCTAAGGTGTTCTGTGGAGCCGGAATCTTGGAGGAAATGTTTTATTGCTGTATCCTGGCATGCTGCAACATCAGTTTTGTGCAGGGCCAGTCACAACCTGCTACCTGTGATTGTCCATGGCGATCCTCTCCTACCAGATCTGTAAATTGACTGGGAGCTTCCACTTTGTTCATCCCCTTGACTGTGAGGCTGTAAGCCTTAGACACACTTAAGCAGAGGGAAAGCATCCTTAGATCATCACAGTACCACAGGAGATGGCAAAGCACTGCCCAAGCCTTTGGATTACAGCCTGGGAGCTACAGCAGTGTGTGCTCAGCTCACAGGTCTCCCATCACCCTTACTAGCCCTTCAATTGTCAGAAAAGCAGTGAGCAAAGCCTGAGCAAGTTTGGAGTGGGGTCAGGAAAGACCTGTGCTCTGGGAAGGCACTGACTGGCTCGTGCCTTAAAGGGTGACCTTTTCTCAAGCATTGGTGAGCACAGTAGAAATTGGTGGCCCTGTGGTCTGGCAGGAATCCTGGAGTGAGCTGTGAGTGATTGACATGCCCCAGGTCTGAGCTGCCAGAGCTCCACAGGGCAGGGCATGGTGCATGGGCAGTTTCTACCAACCTGAAGGATGGTGGTGTTGGGCATCCAGGCTTCCTGCTTGCTGTAGCTACACTGGAGACAGGCACTCCAGAGCAAACTCTTGCATTGTTTTTCTTCCCTTAGAAAGCTGCCTGGAGGTGCTGGAGATGCGATTCCCTAGGGAACCTCTGCATGCTGCGCTCCTGCTGCCGGTGCTCAAGGCGTCCAAGTCCCTCCAGCAGCTGTCCCTTGACAGTGCCACCCTGCCCTGCCCCCAGGAGCTGGGGCTCCTTTTGGAGGTGCTCAAAGGTACTCTAACCCATAGGCAGCATCATGGGGCACACACACTGTAGCTGCCATGCTGTGGTCTTCCGTCCTCTAGCATGAAGCAGCTTAGGTGGGTCCATCTGTTTAGCGTGGACATCCTTGAAGTCTCCCAAGAAAAGGAAATGGGTGTCAGCCATCCCATGTGCAGTGTTACATGGATGATCCTGCACAGCACAATGGTTCCTTTCTAATTATCCACAATCCAGCACAAATTACCCACAGTCTAAGTCAGTTTCTGGGTGGTAGCTGGGTCAGGATCTTCTTATGCCAAGGATGTGCAGTGCTTTACCTGAGAACTTGTTTTGCTTTTAGAGTGTACTCCAAATTTGAAGAAACTGAGCTTTCATGATGTGAACCTGGCTGAGCACCAGAAAGAAGTTCTGCTTCTGCTCCAGGATCCTGGCCTACAAGGTATAGCCAGCTCCTGGGTGCTTGGAGAAGTGCTGTGGGTGGCTGCTTTTGGCTGGCTGGCATTTAAGAGGGGAATGTTTGGATGTGTAAGGTGTAGCCAAATGTCACAGACATTTGGAGCAGATCTGCAGGTGTTGTCAGAGTGGGAACATGCCTGTCTTTGTGCCAGTGGAGCAGAGGAGCTGCTGGCAAATCCTGAAGGGAAGTGTTTGCAGTCTCAGCTATAAAACAATTTCTAACCTGCAGAGCACATCAGCCTTTAACTGGGTGTGATCTGGCTCTCCTCCTGACACAGCAGAAGTGCTGTTATATGCAATCCACTGCTGGGGGAGCTTTGTTCTTACACGTGGATTAGGGGCTGGAGCTGGCTACAGAATGCAGTTATGGAATATTGAAGCACAGGGAGTACTCACATGTACTGTAAATCCATTTCTTCACAGAAATCACCTTTTCCTTCTGCCGGCTGTTTGAAAGCTCCACTGCTGAGTTTTTGTCAGAAATAATCAATACAGTGAAAAGAAATTCATCACTCAAGAGCCTCAAACTGCCTGGGAACCGCCTTGGTGTGTATGCTGTGTGTGGCTGTGGGGCCCTGGAGCAGCTCTCTGCAGGAACTCTGGGGCTGGAGTCAGGAAAGACCACTGAGAGCTGCTGACTGCAGTGCTGAACTTACCCTGTGCAGGAACACTGGGATTTAGTTCACAAAATAAGGAGCACTGGATCCATTTTTAAAGGCAGAATTTCAGTTGCATTCAGCAGTGTACCAAGGTACTGTGCAGGAATTATGGCTGCTTTTCTCTGCAGCAAATGCAAGTTCCAGCAGATCTCTGGATCTGACTGAACACTGATCTGCTTCAGACTTTAACAGGAGCAGATCCAGCATCGGATGCAATGCCTCTGATTCAGAGGCACAGATTTTGCCCAAGTTTGGGCAGTTTGTGTCTCAACAGCTGTTGGCAGCCACTGGAGGGATGAGAAGAAGTAAAGGAAGATTTGTGTCAAATAATTGGAACTGAATTTACAGAAGTGATAGCATTTTGAATCATAGGCAAAGTAGAAATGTTTGAGAAATTTAATTGCAGATAGATCCAGAATATTGTTTTCTGTTATTCAAACAAAGTAAAACAGGGAAACTTGGGATAACCTGAATACATGTAATTTCTAAAACAAAGCTGCATCTGAACTTCTGAAACAAAACCATGGTTTTTCTAGGGAAACAAAGTACCCTATCAGCAAATGTTTTCATTGCCTCAAATGTTGTGCTCAGGGGGATGAACTCACTTGATGTCACTGAGGGGGACACACTGAGGTGGGCTTTTTGTGTTGCATTCACTTGTTTACAGACTGCTTTTCTGCACTATTATCCCAGCCCTATGACAATTTAAATTTTAAGACCATTTTGTAATTTGCATCTAATAGTGCATTTCTCCCTTTCAGGGAATCACAGGCTGGTTGCCCTTGCAGACATTTTCTCTGAAGATTCCTCCTCTTCTCTCTGCCAGCTGGATGTCAGGTATTCTGCTTCTCTAAACACTGAATTCCTTGTTTTGGGAGGGAGGGAGAGACCTGAACTGGGCTCTGACAGCAGGAGAACCTGAGCATGGCTTTGTTCCTTGAGAGAATGTGTGCCCAGGAAAAGCTCAGAGAATGCTGCAGTGGGCTCATACACCCTCAGGGGCCTCCAGGACCTCTGAGACATTTCACCTTTAGGAGTCAAGCTCCATCTTTAAAGCAGATTTAGTCTGCTGCTTCCTTGGGAGCCTCCTGAGCTGTAGGCTGGGACTAACATCCCTTCTTTTATTCTTGAACAGCTCTGTTCCCACTGCCCCTTCATAGCAAGGGAATGCTGTCACTGTTCCTGGCACATCCTGAGAATGCCTCTGCATTCCTTTGCTCAGCACTGGTCTTCAATCAGAACTGCAGCTCTCTTCTTGACCCTGAATGGCCTTACAGATAGGCAGCAACCTTCATGAAGCACATGGGGGTGGCATTTCTGCAATACTAACAACTGCTTTGCTTGATTCTGCCCCCTCTTTACTTCCTCATGGCTCAGGTAGCTCAAAGTACATAGCCTTGACAATTTATTCATTCAGCCATGGCCACACTCCTTCAGCAGGCTTGAAGCCTCATTGTTACTGTGCCTCAGACAAGGTTTAAATCCAGCATGCAACTTGATATTTATTTACACATCTCTACATGGGAATTGACCTTTTAAACTCCTAGAAATAACAGGATCTGGCACATGCCCTTCAGATTCTCTCAGCAGAAGACACAAATGATCACTTACTGCTGAGTCTTGCACTGGGACTTGTAGGTTGGGCCACGTCCCTTGGTCCAGAGAGTTGACAGCTACAACATTTTAAGGCCAGAGCTAGGTCTGCTTAAATCAGAAGTAAGAGGTCTGGATAATGAGCATAACTTAGTAGTTGTTACCACCTTGGTTTAAAAAGGTTTCCAGCCCTTCATACTCAGTTTTGGTTTTAATGAGAAATGCTTAGATTTTGTACTGCTGAAAAAAGGTGCAGCTGGCCTTGAAACCTCCTCAGGGACCTGCACTGGCAGTTGGTAGAAGGAACAGTAATTTAAATTGCTTGAATTATTTTTTTTCTTTTTCTTCTTTCCCTGGAAAGCTCAAACTGCATCAAACCTGATGGGCTCCTGGAGTTCACCAAGAAGCTGGAAGGCCACATCCAGCAGAGAGGGGGACAGCTTCCATTCACACAGCTGCGCCTGTTCCAGAACTGGCTGGACCAGGATGCAGAGACAGCGCAGGAGGCGCTGCGGCGGCTCAGGGCCCTGTGCAGCGTTGTCAGCGACGCCTGGGACTCCTCCCAGGCCTTTGCTGACTACATCAGTGTCATGTAGGGACACAGGAGCAGGGGAAACCCATCTCCATCTCATTTCACAGCACAAGCTGGGGGTTCTTCCCCCTTTCAAGCAGTACAGCTTTGCTCCTTTCACTCTGCTGTTCATTTGAAGGAGTGTGACACTGCCGTGACACAGCAGAGCACATGGGCCAACTGCTGTATTTCCAGGTGATCCAACTCTGCCATCTTTTCGAGTATCATAAATGGACATACATCAAATCAGCTTCTGAAACAGTTGTTTACATCACTGGGTGTGTGACAGATTTCATGTTGTTTCAGCCAATGTCTCACCAATAACCATCTCCAGCATGGGAGAGACTCAAAAGCCATTGGGTTGTGGTCCTTGACAACCAGGTCTAGGTGCTCTTGTTTTTGAGAAGTATTGGACAGTATCACCTGACATCCCTTCCAACTTCTTCATTTTGTGGTCTGTGCAATAGGAACTCCTCCCTCCACTAAAGGGACGAGAAAACAAGCTAACAAAGCCCCCAGGCTTGACCTTTTTCCACTTGAAAATTTGTACTTTACACCAAAAAATTCTTTATGTACCAAATAGCTTGCTGTTTATTTGCAATCACACTGCCCTTTTCCAGTGTCTGCAGTCATTTTACAGAGGTTTTGAATAGTTTGTTATTTTGTAACATTTTTGTAATAAAATTTTAATTAAGAATCATAATGTACCAAAGTGAATTTTATTACTGTCATGTAATGTGATCTCATTAAAACACTGCCAGATAAGGGGATGCTGCCCATAACAAAGCAAGTGGTTTTAGAAATGGAGTTACTGGAATAGAGCCTGATTTCCTACTGCTTTCATGATCTTTTTCAGGCCAGATGTTTGACATATGAGCTAAAATTTTTTCCCCCTGTACAAAATCCTCCTCTTCCCAAGTAATCAGCAAGGCTCACATTTCACAGCAAAAATAGATCCTGCAAGTTTTGATCAGCAACTGTAAGCCAGAGCTGTCAAAGAAAAAAACCTGACTGCACATCAAGTGCTATAAAACTCCTGGCTCAACTTAACCCTGAAGACAAAATCTGGCTGAGTAGAAGGCACAAATACCAAAGGCAGGAGAACCAGTGCTAAATGTGATCAAGCATGCAAGGTCCCATTATTCCCAGTTCCCAAGGGGCTGTTTTTCAGGCACACAATTCAACAGCAAATAAAAAGCCACGGACTCCTTGCTGCAGCAAGGGCCAAGGGCCTTGCAGCCACTCCAGCGCCACACTGTTCTGCTATCCCACAGCCACACGAGAGTCCAGCACGCACAGCTGCCCACTGCCCTTTCCTTGAAAGGGATCCAAGTGGGGCAGGCTGCCACAGAGCCTGCCCTTGTCCCCACAGGGGACAGTAACCTGTCAGGGAATCCCTCGCTGCTCCTCGTGGGAGTGGTGATGGAAGGTGAAGGTGACAGCAGCTTCCCAGGCCGCCCTCAGCACGGGGTCCTGCAGGCCGCGCCTGTCCGCGCAGTGCTGCCACTGCGACAGGTCCGACGTGCAGTCGGAGCCGGCGGGAGGGGGCCGCACCTGGTGCCCGTTCACACAGCGCCGACACTTGATCCTGCCAAGGGCACAGCAACATCAGGGCAAGGCTCCTCTGCTGGCTCTGCCTTGGGCTGCTCAAAACCGCAGCCCAGGAACATTCGGATTAACTCCCCTGGATTTTCAGAACTGAATTATTACTGCATAACTACCTTCTAATGTGTGTGACAGGTTAGGAATGACTCACACATTTTGAAAACCTGGGGGTTCTGTTGCCAATGGCAGTCCCTCTTCATGGTGAACCATTTGGGAATGGTCCAGCAAGACCCTGAGGAAGTTCAGAAAGAGTTTCTCTTGAAAGGTGTGGGATGTTGCTTAAGGCAGATCTCAAACGACTGCTGCTAACACCTTATTAGTATTGCATCAGGACTCCTAAATTCAAAGAGCACACCATGCTCCAAAACAATGCATCCTGGCTCCCACCACAGGCACCAGGTTGTGCTCAGGCTGTTTTGGAGATGCCCCAGTGAGCTGTCACTTAAGGAGACAAAGAGCAGCAGCAGCCAGGCCAGCAAGGGCTGTTGCCATGCAGAATGGATACCTATACTGAGCTAAGCCTTGATACAGCTTAAAATTAATCCTCTTCACTTCTTGCCTGAATTAAGAGTCTTAATTTTCACAGTGAAGCATTTTCCCTGCACTCCCTGTCCTCTTTCTGGTGGCTGTAATACCACAGGTCTCTGGGCAGGGAGAGAAGGGCAGACAATGGAGAAGAGTATTCTTTCCGTTGCCAGAACAGCACTTAGACTGGCTTCATGAATTCTTAGCCAATGGAGAAGCCCTAGTATGGAAGCACTTCAGCATTTGTTCACCAGGAGGAGAGTACTAAGGAAGGACCAAGTTAGGCTCCACCTTGAACAGCTCTGATCAGTTTTGCTCTTTTCATTAGCTGCAAAACAGGTAGCTACAAGGTAGTTTGCTCACTTGTCCAGCCATAATAAAAAGGGAGGACAGCAAGGAAGTGCTCGTGTCTCGGTGGTTAACAGTTTCAGAAGCAGAAACACTTGAGGCTCACTCTCTGGACATCCTCCTGTTGCCTGGGAGATCCCTCAATTACACAACCAAACTTCTGCTATCCCAGCCATGAGTCATTCAGAATACTCACTTGTCATGGGTGTCACTGGTGGTGGTCTCATTCAGTGTGAAGAGCTCCTTCAGCTCCCCAAGGGAGAAATGCCTTTCTACATCCTGCTCTTCATCCACCACGCAGCTGCTCAGGGCCTTCTTGTGGGTCTGGCGCTGGAATATCTTCTCCTCTATGGTCCCTGTCTGCAGGCAAGGCAGAGATGAAGCACAGTCGGAACACTGGTGTTAAAGGAGCTCTACATGGAGAAGGTGTCACAGATCAAGTGGCTCTAAGCGGTCAGGACCACTCAGCACCTCACCAGTACAGGTAACAGGCAAGTTTTAGTAGCTGCACTCTAACCACATGTGTTTTGTTGCAGATCTAACCCAACTCTGCTTCTCTTTCCCTGTGGCTGCAGGAGTGGATCCAGTGGAGATACAGATGAGGAAGAGGGAGAACTGCCATTCATGGCTAAAGCTCACACACTGCACCAGAATGTGCTGACAGGAAGGAAGGGAAAGGAGCTGAGCAGTTACAGCTGCTCCCTGACAAAAAATCCCAACTACAATCTCCCCAAGAAGCAGAAACAAGGTCTAGCCCTGGGTGACACGAGCATCAGCACTATTTTCTGGTTCACCCACACACAGATCAATCACATCCTGCCTGGAGGGAAATGTCTGCTTCTAGAACAGATGTGCAGAAAGCCCAGCATGCTGTATTTCTAAGACAAAAATCTAAGAGCAAAATGTCTGTTTTGCAAACAAATGTAACACCAAGGAGGGGGGTAATTAGTCATGATTTGCAGACTGATTTCCTATTTCTAAAAGCAAAGGAGCTCCCTGCTTCCAAGTGCAGCAAGGTCAGAGAAGAACTCCATTAAGAAAAGATGGGCAAAGAATGTCTGTTTTCTCAAAGTAAAAATAATAACTGACCAAGGAACCTAAGCTTATACAATAAAACCCCAACCAAAACAAAAAACCACACACATTAAAACTACCCAACAACTTCCCCCTCCCACCCCCAACCAAAACAAAAATCCCAACAGTCTGAACTAACGAGAGGCGAACAAGGGCAGAGGAGACACTTTGAAACAGCAATCACTACTGGCACTGCTGGACTAAGTTGTTAGAGTAGCCTAAAAAGAGCAGTCTCCTTCATGGTTTTCCTCTACAGAGCAGCTACCCCATCTGCTCACTGGCAGCTCCATCCCAAATGCTGCTGGTAATTCCAGGAACCTATTTGCTGTTTCTAAAGCACACGTACACCCAACTAAAACAGACTGTAGCCTGGCTGAAAAACAGCAACTACTGCATCAGACACCCCATGAAATTAAAGAAGTCAGATGCCTAAATGACTTCAAAGGAACATCTTATCTGCAAAGCCACAGTTGTTTCTATTGCTCAGAAGCCAGCCACTGCAAGAAAGCAAGGGCTGCAGTAATGACCCTCCAGCTAGAACCTTCATGGTTTTCCATGGCAACACATCTAAGGGTAGGAAGCAATTAAGTTCCAATCAATTCTGGTCACCAACACAGAAGAGTTCTTTCCCTTCTGGCCCCAATCACAGCAGCTGCAGTCTGGGCTGGCACCCAGAGCTCCATGCTGAGGAGGAGAGAGGAGTTTTCTCACCGAGAGCAGTCGGTAGATGTAGCACATCTTCTTCTGGCCGTCCCTCCACACCCGAGCCATGGCCTGCTCGTCGTTGGCCGGGTTCCAGTCGGGGTCAAACATCACCAGCCTGTTGGCCCCGATCAGGTTCAAACCGCAGCCACCTGCTTTGCTGCTCAACATGAAGATGAACTCAGGGCTCTGCAAAAAGGCAGCCTTGGATTAGACTGCAGAGGCAGCCATGCTTTTACTGCCAGCACTCAGAGCTGGCAGGAGAGCTGCTCACATCTGGCACATTCTACTCACCGAGGGGCTGTTGAACCGCTCCACGATCTTCGCTCTCTTTTTAATGGACATGGTGCCATCCAGCCTCACGTACAGATACCTGGAACACAGACCATTTACTTCTAATAAAGGAGAAAACTGTCACCATCAGCCTTGTAACAACAGAATGGGCTTTAGAAATGTTAGCAGAAGGCCAGAGATTTTCTGCTGAGTGACCCCAGCACACAAAGCTACATTGGTTCCAATTCAGGAACACCTGAGCTAAAAGGCAGATCACAAGTTCCTGCTGAGACACAGCATAGGAATAGCCAGTTCTTTTACAGCAGAGGCAAAAAGTACTGTACAGTCTAGCAGGACTAAAACACTGAAACCCAAAGACAAACCTTCTACTCCGGCAGAGCTTTTCAAATAGATCCAGTGTCTGAGTGTAGTTAGACACTAAAACCACCTTGTCATTACTGGTGCTTTTGGTAACAGCAAGGATGTAATCCAAAACCAGCATCTTTCCTAGATAAAAAGAAAAAGAAAGAAAAAGCTAGAGCAGAATTCCCAAATTGCAGACCCTGGAGGGGCACTTGGTAAGTCAGTCTCATGGTTGCCTGTGTTAGGCAGCTCATCTGTACTGCTGCATTCCACCATACCTGAAAGCTGGGGCTCCACAGATTTGGTGCTGTAGCCAGAAGGGAACAAGCCCAGGGCTCCAATAAATCCTTCTTCCTCTTCTACACACTTATCATAGATAAGAGCAGGATCTGAAGAATAAACAGAGCTCAGAGACTCTTTAGAGTGCACAAGGGACGCCCAAAAAAAGCTGCACCAACAGTGCAAAACCCAAACCCAAACCATATGAACAACTCACGATTACAGAGCTTCTTCAAGGACGTGATGGAAGACAGAGATGAAACACTGATTTTGCCCTCCTTCAGCTCCTCCACTGGCTTGGCTTGCTTCAGGAAGTTCTTGTACAGCTCAGTCTGCAGAGGTGTCAGTCTGAAACACAAAAGGAGCTCTGCAGTCCCAGCCTGCAGTCCAACAGAAGCCCTGCTCCATCTATACTGAGTGCTCCTTTCAGCTCAGTTTTTCTAGCTATAGCACAGACAGCTTAGAACTGCCCCCAAGGCTGCTGGTAGAGTATTGCTATCTTCCAGAGCTGGAAGAGAAGCTTGCAGAGACTGCACAGCCCAGGGCTCAGCCCTACACAGCTGCCCAGGGCTCACCAGCTGGCTGGCAGAACCACCAACAGTGGGTTGTAGCTTCAGAAGGAAAAGCAACATATTGCCAATGGCTACAACATCATTCCTAGAGGGAAGCAGTGACCACAAGAATTGAAGGGCTTATTGCAATTTTTCAGTCCTTCCTGTTGCTTCCACTATTTCACAGACACAGCAGATGCTTTTTGGTACCTGCAGCAGACCACCTGTTCAATCTTCACTGGCAGGTATTTGGACAGGATGTCTGAAGTTCTCCGAATCAAACACCTGCAGGGAGAGAAATTAAGATCAGATGCTTGGATGGCTCTTGGATCACTTTTACTGATAAAACTCTGTTTTATCACTATGATTCCTCATGTGGTCAACAGACATTATGCCACCTACACAGAGAGAGCTCAGCCACAAGAGAAACTCTGCTCTCCCTCAGACTACCAACAGCATTTGCAATTTGAGCTACAACAGAGTAGCAGCATGGACAGCAAACAAGTATAGGGATCAACAACCACAAATTGTGGGTATAAATCAAAGTACAGGCAGGCAACTCCCCACTTAGTCCTCAGTAGCCATTCTCAGCCAAGATGGGCTCATGGCCTGGCCCAAGATTCCAGCAAAGGATATGTCCTTTGGCCTCTGGAAATGCCCCATGCAGCAGTTTTGCCACACTTCAGAAAAGGTGGAATGGACTAGAAAAAGTGCTGAGCTGAGCAACCAGAGTAAGAGGTGCAGAAACCCAGTTCTGCCAGGAAGCATCAAAAGTATGTTACAAAACCCATAGAAGAAAGACAGCAGGGATATATGACAACCCCAAAATCAGTCAAAGGCTGGTAAATAAAAGAATAATCTGGTCTCCGAACCCATAAGCAGCAGGATGAAAAGTAATAGGCTTAAACTGCAGTAAGGAAGATTTATGTTACACATTAAGAGCCTTTTCTAGCTGCAAAGACAGCAGTGCCCTGGAAAAGGTGTCCTAGGAAAACTGCAAGGTCTTCAGTGCTGAGTGGGGGTTAAGAGATGGTTTAGGTTTTCAGTTCTAACACCTTCTACCTTAGGACAGCAAGGCTGATTAGATGCCTTCTCCAGGGCCCTTCCAGCCTTACCTCTATGATTCCATATGCCTTTGCACCAATGGCCCATTTGCAATTCCAACCAAATACAACAGACTCATCCGTTACTACTTTTGTGCTTTGTCTTCCCTATTTGTGTATCATGACTGTTGCACAATAAAGGAAAGGACAAAGACCTCAACAGAGCCAGGCACAGGCATTCCTGAACACAACTTTACATCCATTTTTCATCAACTATAAAAAGAAATAAATGCACCTCAAGAAGGAATAAGCTTTTCTTCTCCCAACCCTTCCTTTTTCTTAGGCTTCTGCAAGCTGATTTGATTCAAGGTCAGGACTGTCTCTATGGAGTGACTCTACTTAGTGTGAAATTTAATTTACCATTACTGTGAACTGCAGGATTGTATTCGTGATGGCTACAAAAAGATCAGATTAAAAAAACCAAAACAAACCAAGCAACCTAAAACCATCAAATAAAACCCATGAAAAAACAAACAATCAGAAAAAAAACCTGAAGACATCAGCAATGCTGAGAATTCAAGAGTCTTTTCTAGAAAGTTCTTAAAGAGAGCTGAGCAATTGCCAGCAGATATGGATAAACTGATTGTACTCATGAACAGCAAACAAGTTTGAACAGGTACCACAAATCAGCCAAAGATAAAGAAGACAGCACTTCACATCACAGAGGTGCTTCTTGGGGATCAGAAGTCCCATCTCTGACTCTTGTAGTCTGTCCTATCAGCCCTACAGAGCCAACAAAACTGTCTGAGTGTGAGCTGGGTTATTCTGTGACTTGGGCAATCAACAGCAGAATGGAGTGACATTCCTTACACTCCTTCTGCTCCTCAACATCTGGGTCGGATGGATCTCAAGTCTAATCCAGCCCACATTTATAGATGACATAAATAAAAGAATAATGCCTGATTATTCAGATCCCAGGAGAAAACAGAAACATAGGAGTCATAATAACCCAGTACCTGAGAGTACTGCCTGGAGGTGATGGCAGCTGACTGTGCCATGTCAGTTCCATTTATCAGACTAAAGCTCCATCCTAGGTGGATTTCTTTGGCAATAAATACTTGCACAATCACTTCTGAATAGATGTAACAAGCAAGAGAATTCATTATAGCTACATCTGTAATTTGGAAATATAGCAGGGCTTATAGGCAAATGCTCTGCAAAGAGAAGAGGGATGAAGTTCACCTGTTCACAATACTGATTAGCTCTTTAAGCCTCTCTTCTCCCTTGTGTCGCTCAGCTTCACTTGCATCTGCATCTCTTCCTTTCAAGATGGGCATTTCAAAATGTCTTTTAAATTCCTGTGCAGTTCCTGTATAAAACAGAAGTGAAAAGGTGACAACTACTACCAAAGAATCTTTGATCAGCATCCCACAGCCACTACACCTCAAACACCAGGCCCAGCAGATAAAACAAACCCTCATCCCATCCATAAGATTGTTTGTTTTTTTTCTAGCCAAGCAAGACTCACACAAGGCAGACAAATCAATTTAATAGATAATCATTTTGTACTCCAACAACAGTCAAAGCCAAAGGTCACAGAATTTTACTTAAACAGTCACACACATACTGCTTTTGCTCACATTCCAGTTATACTTTTATTCCCAGATTCTGTCCTTGCAAACAACAGCACAGGCATTATCTGTGCCTACTCCAAAATTATCTGTAATCAGTTGCTTATTACTGGCCACAGGCTGAAAGTGAGAAAAATGCCTCCTGAGTGCATGCAGCTTTGCTGCAGTACTTACACCATTAACCTCATCTCAGAAAGAACGAACTGCAAGTACAGGGAGAGTAATCCTGCCCAAAGTACAGGTCAAGGGGGGCAGCTGAAAATCCCATCAGCTCCCTGTAATTACCACACAAAATTGAAGCACACAGAAAAAGCAGATGTAGAACATCTACCAGCCCATTCCATCCTTTCCTTGAGAACTCCTGGGGGCAAAACAGTTCAACAGAAAAAGACACAGCCCAAATTCTGCCTGCAGGACTAAGAATCTGATGAATTGTGTTTAACTAGAGTTAGGCATGCACTAGAATTAATGAGAAGCCTCTTGGACTGGATGCCCAACACTCTGAGACGATCATGGGAGATTAAAAAAGAAGTAATTGACATTAGCACTCAGTTTCCCATATTCGTTTTACCTTAATTGATTCCCCTTCCAAAATACCTGTTTGACTCGTGTAGTTTGCATTAGAACCTTGTTTAAACAGAGCCCAGATGACACAGAGTCCCTAGAACAGGGCACCCTGACCTAGGCTTTCTGGATACAAACTGAAAGAGTCTCATGGAATCAGAGAGTTGTTTGAAGTAGAAAAGACTTTAAGAGATCACCTAGTTACAAACCCCTAATATCACTTTTCACCAATATCTCAGTTGTTGCTTTTGCTGGCATTGACAGAACAGGCCAACACCCTCCCCTGCCTCCCATCTCCCACACATTGATCTCTCACCCAGGATGCCTGAATTGACAAAGTGCACCAGGCTGAAATACTCCAGCAGGTCATTCTGAATAGGAGTGCCTGAGATAAGGACTCGTCGAGGTGTGTTTAAGCTGTTGAGAGCCTGGTAGGTTTGGTTTTCAGAGTTCTTCAGTCTATGGCCCTGTAAAAAAAAAATAAAACCAGAAAAGGAATAAGGCTGATAAATCCAGTGGCTCTGTAAGGAAGCAGCTTGGAGAGCCATATCAGCACTGATAAAAGGCATCTCATCACTCTTCCCATTCCTGGTAGTGGAGTGAGTGTTGCAACAAACTTGTCTCAAGGACAAGGATCGAGTGAAAAACCTTTAGCCATTGTGTAAGGAAACAAGACATTAGAAGCTTCCCAAACCAGGAATATCTGAGCTCCACCCAGGCAAGAAAGCCTACCATGAAAACAGCAACCATCACACAATATAACTTACAACTCTAAGAACTGCTTCCTGGTCTAAGATGGGAATGTATTCAGCACTGAACTCTGGACCAGTAAAATTGTTTAATTCAAGGTCAAGACCACTAACCACCCAGATCACCTATACAGAGGACTGCCAGACCTTTGCACACTAATAAAAAGAGGTTCTTCACCTCTTACAGTGGTAATCTGAACACAGGCCCCATTTCTCATGCCTGGGAAAAGCAACTTTATTAGCATCTGAGTGCTGGGTAGGACAAAGCACACGTGATAAGATGCTCTTCATGAGTGCCAGACTGCACAGAAGAGGCGAATCACTTTTTTGGAAATGTATATAAGCCACAAGGCCAAGGACATGGGTTTCCAGATTCCCTAGGTGCTAGCCTCATTCCAGGGGCACTGAGAGGTGTGGGCAGTCATGGACTCACAGATAAAAGGTTTATGGGAGCTACCTACACTCCTGAGGACACTCACTCTTTTAAACCCCTCTTGGCACTGCTTTGGCAAATACAAAGCCAAACCACTGGGTGGCACCCCTATTTAATAAATTCCTTATACTCAGCAGCAGAGGATATCTCAACCCCTGCAGGTCCCAGCCTGATCGTTTCACAGAGGCAAAGGACACTTATTTTATTTTGTCCTTCAAAGCATCTCTGGCTCTCACTACCTATAACCACAAAGAGGGAATGACAAATGAAAAAACAACTCAATTTTGGTCATGTGAAAGCAGAGCTGGACACACATCAATGCATGAAAACCAGCAAGCCAGGGCACTACCAACAGAGACAGGCATGGACCTCCCTTCTGGTACATATTTCACATGGAGAGGGCCCTAGTAGGGACCCACCATGGATCTACAAGTGGATGCAGTTACCACCAGCTGGATTTTTTTCATGAAGACACCTCTCCCACTCAGGCTCACACAGTATGGTTGATCTTACTGAGAGCCTCTGAAACACCAGAATGGGTGTTGTCTGTCCACAGCTAAGTCTTGTATCCCATTGTCCACTCTCCTTTAAGAAAGCAGATCCAGTTTCACCCAGGTGTTGGGAAAACAGCAGGAATGGATTCCCCTTAGAGGTGCCCCCATACCTCATCACAGATGACCAGCCCCACAGTGCCCTTCTGCAGCACCTCGGCGTGCAGTCGGAAGGTCTCGTAGGAGATTATCAGGATAGGTGAGGGCACTCGCCGGCCATGCTGGTTCATAAAGCCAGCTGCAGATGGGAAGGGAGAAAAGGAAAAGAGGAAAAAAAAAGGATGAGGAAAACAAATAGAAAACAGGTCAAATGGTCAAAACATTTGCCTTAAAATTTATGAAAACCCTTCCACCCATATATACTCATTCTCCTTTCCCCACAACTATTAACATTTCCATGTCCCTTCTGCCTCCATTTCCTGGACTACCCTAACACCTGACTAGATTTGCATGGCAAAAGATCAACTATTACCAAACATGCAAGGCTCAGATCTAAACATGTTAGTGGGAAGACAGTCATCAGTCTGCAGAGATCCAGTGACTGCTCAGAGATCTTCACATGAGCTGCTGCAGCCTTCATCCAATGCAAGACTTTGACCCCGACCAGCCAAGCGCCCAGACTGCAAACATTTCTGTACCTAGTTTACGGTCAATCTCTTCTTTGGAGCCTCCATCAATGGCCAGTGGCTGGATCCTTCCCCCCAGCCATTTCTCTACTTCATTGTACCAGTTTCTCACCAGGCTGGAGGGAGACACCACCACGGCTTTCTCGATTTCGGGCTTGCAGTCCGGGCTTTGCCGGAGCAGCGTCCACATGAGTGTGATGCACTGCAGAGTTTTGCCCAGCCCCATTTCATCTGCCATGATGCAGCCATGGCTCCCAGGGATCCGCCGGCTCGTCACACAGTCCCAGAGGAATTTCACCCCCTGCCAAAAAATTGTTCTCTCAGAGCAGGATGGGGACATCAGCAGAGTGACAACTTCATTACCACAATGCACAGGGCTGATAGCACAGCAAACAGCAGATCCGTGTAGCACACACATCCCTGGGGACATGCAGTGTTCTAATGAGACAGAGGGAAACCATCTGAGGCACAGCTAAAATGCTGCCACATCTGGAGTGAAACAGCACTGCTGGTGCCAGCATGTACCTCACAACATGCACAAAATCTTGCTACATTTTTTTTTGTACAATTCTAACCAGCTTCTGAACATGAATTCCCAGAAATTTCTACCCTTGGCTGCATTAGACAGGACCTGGCCATGAACTAACATGCATCAATCATTTCAAAGAGGTTTATCATCTTAACACCACCAAATCAGGTAATTTCAAAGAATCAGAGTGAGTAGAGTTGTTTCTGCTGCCCGAATAATTCCCAGAACACCATTATCAGTCCTCATAATTTCTGCCTAAAAGCAGTGACTCACCTGGGGGCTCAAGGACCAAAGCAGATTTAGCTTTAGAGAAGACACAGGGCTGAGGTTTTAACCCATGTCACATGGTGGGAGAAGAGCTCAGCCCTGCATTAGGCCCTGACACATCACTGAGAGAGATAAAGGGAGGTGTGAGGGGGGAAGAGACAAACTTCAAAATGTTCCTGTACCATATGATGATAAGAGAGTCAAAGAAAACCAGGGCATTGTGCTGGGAACGTACAAGCTAAACACACCTGCAATGATTCATCCTCTCTACTCCACCACTTAGGACTTGAAGATAGAGCACCTTTACCTGCACTTTCAATTCATTTTCTTTCTTTCTTAGACTTTTAGTAACAGGCTAATGGAATTCATTTAAGCCAGCTGAACAATTTTGAACTTCATTACTGACTATAAGACTGCATTTTGCTGCAGAACCAGCACCTGGGCAAAAGTCACAACAAAGTTGGGGCAGAGCTGTACAGCTATGTAGGAGCATCAGCTGAATACAGCAGCATAGGAATCCTAGCAGGCAGAGACTTATTAGTCAGGCTAAAGCAGAAACTGCTTTATCATCAACATTTTCTTGCCAAAAAACAGCGTGCCTAGGACACCAACATAACTTTGACTACTTGACAAAAGCACCAGCAGGCAGCAGGTTACCCAAAACCAGAGTGCCTCCAGCTATGCACCCAGAGATGAGAATTACACCACATCACAGGTTCACTGCCAGATCTGAGATAAAACTACCAGCCATGAGCAGCCTACTATGCTTTCATTGCCATCTGAAGATCTCCAATGCATGGACACATCTAGCTTGACCTGCTCAGCCTGCAAGATCAGCAATCACAGCTTCCATCTGTGCTCCCTCCAGGCTTAAATGATAATATATTGCACCTGGGATGAACTTCCAGCTGTCCAGAAGATACATCGGATATTTGGAGAGCTGTAGCCACAGCTGCCATGTTACGATGTTGCACATATTTACAACATAAAATGGTTTTGGCAGTCTGCATCAAATTTCAAGTCTGTGTAGGTCAGGCACAGCTCACACCTACCAAGGGCAGCCTCCAAACAAAGCACACTGAAGCAGGAGCCTACTCTACACTTTGTTAGGAACCATGGCACCAGAAATTGGAGCCTCAGTGTTTCCTGGCTCAGGGACTGCAGATTCAATCAATTCTGCTGAGCAGTAAAACAGTGGTGGACAGTTTGCCCTGCCTGACTCAAAACTGGGCTTCAATATAGTTTATTGCAAATATATCCCATCACCTTTCACACTGAATTCTACCCAGCAGAGCTACATCTCCAGACTTTAAGGTAAGTAAAAGCAGGACTTTCAGCCCTGACTCTTTGCTTGAAAAGGGACAGGAAGTATTGTCAGCATTCAGGCCTCTCAGAGGATGCTAAAAACAAATGCTTCACTTGGTATTTGCAACAGACTAGAGTCTGTTAGATGTCAGTTTGTGAAGTCTGTGCAGACCTGTAATAATTCCTGCAGATGAAAATGTGGCTTTGTGAAATGGAACAAATCCTCCAGCCACACCCTCAGGTCCCAATGGAAAACTTACTTCTCTCTGATGGGGTCGTAAAACACGGCTGAGGACAGGATCCACCACGACATGGACAGGTGCCTTGTCCCTGCAGGAGGCAGTCAAGGTAGAAGAGACTGTGATTGAGGAATTTGGCACATGTTTAGGTTTTGTTAAATCTCACTGCTGTACTGAGGACTCTCCTGTGGCACAGGGAAAGCAACTTCACACAAGAAAGTGAAAAATGGATTTATTCAGCTTTGAGAATGAAGTTAGAGACCTGCCCACAGTCTGAAACATCAGTGAAACCATGTATGTGGGCTGTGGTTAAAACAAGTGCAGAATGTGGTCCAGAGACACAGTTAAAAAGTCAGTATTGTTTTTCTTGTTTCTATAACAATATCGTAACTAAATTTCTGGAGAAAGAAACCCCTCCCTCTGTCCATGAAAATCCATCCACTTGACAGGTTTTTCAAGTTATAACAATAGCACAAAAGAAACTACTTTAGAATAAAAACCAGTAGGCAGCCTAAAATTTGACAGTCATCTCCTTTTGCTTGTCCTTAGATGCTGATGTTTCCTGACTAATGACTAAGGCATGAGATTTTCTAAGCAACTTCTCCATGCATGTATGCTCATTCCCTGCAACAGGTTTAAATTTTTGATGCATGAGAGAAGGAACATTCAGTGAAAGAACACAAACAATCCAGCATGGGTACATTCCTTCTTTGACTGTAACCATACCTGAACCAATTCAGGCAGAATACTTGGAATTGAAATCCCCTTGATGATCAGACCCCAGCTCAAACACATTTGGGAGAAACGCACATAAACCTACAGCCAGAAAGAGGTCAGAGCTGCAGCATTCACGCCAGGTGATGACTCACTTGTCTATTTTCAGCTGGTCATGGGCACTCAGCACGGGGGGCTCGTACAGAACCAGAGCTCCCTCCTCAAATGGGTCATGGAGAGGACCCCTCACTCCTGCCCGTTTGACTCCCAGGGAGCGCAAGCCCAGGGGCCCTGAAATGGAACAAAGGCACAGCTCAAACAACAACATCTTCCTGGAAGCAAGCAGAGCCTGGCAGCAGAGTCTGATCACACTCAGGAACAGTGAATTAATTGGGTGCTGGAGTGGAGGTGCACGCACTGCTGGTGCACACAGCAAACCTAAGCAGGGCTGTGGTTTGGCAGTGCTCTGGCAGCACAGTGGGAAGCTCTGCGGCAGGAAAAAACAGAACCAAGGAATAGAGGCAAAGAGGGAGCAATGGCACTGCTTACCCAAGGTGGTGGTTCTAGTTTTTTGAAAGCCAAGGAGGGTTCCAGAATGTACATCTCAACAGCCCAACAAATACACTCCTACGTATAGAATATGCTGGGTGAAATTCTCTTTTGGGGTCACCTAACCCAGACTTAGCTAGAGTCGTATCTTTGATGCAAGGTCAGGAACTGATCTTTAACAGTGATGGAGTTCTACAGCACCACAGCCAATACCATATTGTCACTACCTGCTCTAGGGCATTATTTTGTCTCTGCTGAGCAATATTAGATGTTTGGCCTTGGAGCCAATTTCTGTGAAAAGCAGAAACCAAGCAGGAGTCCCTTTTCCTAGTACTGTATTTGATGTCACAGTTTTGAAATAGAGATGACTACAAGAAGATACATAAAAATCCCTTTTCCCATCAAAACTCAGGCAACTGTGCTCCCAGATTGATTTTGCTCTAAAAAGATTCAATCAGTCTATCTGTCCACTGTTTACTAAAGCTCCTTGCAAAACAGGAGTGTAAAACAAGCTGAGGCAGCAATGCACACAGAACAAGGAAAAAAGAGCAGAAGAAACAGCCCCTTTTCCCAATTAAGAGAGCAAGGTAACAGCCACAGAAAGCAGCTTTCCCAGTTACAGTTCTGTTGGAGCCTCCTCACAAATCCGCTTCTCCAGCAGTGAGCTTTGTCAGACTCTTCTGGGGCTTGTCATTCCACATTCAGTGGCTGCTTACAGACATTTTTATAACTAAAGTTTGAGTGAAATTGGTTGCTCTGCATTTGAGTTTTTCAGCTGGAGGGTGAAGGGGAAGCAGGGGACATGAACAGGCCCATTTGTTTCTGAGATCTTATGTTTCACTGATTCAAACCAGCTGAGGCTTTGAACTTCAAAATGATCTCGTTTTGAAGATCACCTTGAGGCTCAACACTCCAAGCCAAGTAGAAAGAAAACTGGCACATACAATCTTTTTCACCACAGCCTTCTGTCTGTTAGCATCATTATTTAAATGATAAACCTTCGTGGCTTGGAATTCATTTTGCTTTTGTATTTGTGATACAGTGTAAAATCTCCTGGCACTACATCAAATACATAGCACTAAGACTATAAAATCCAATTCTGAAATGTAGGATTATCCAAACTAAACACTAGTAAGAAATATGAAGACTTTGCTAATATGGCAGTATTTTTCTTTCAAAATTAAGTCAGGATATCTGGAACATATGCATCAGTGCAAAAAATAACAATAATCCCCACAGATATATTTGACAGGCCTAAGCATCATCTGTTTTACCCGAGTCAGCCAACACAGACAATCCTTAAACCTCCTCATCTTACCTTTATAATTTGGAATGGGGACTTTGAAGGGTTTGGACAAAATACTGCGGATAAAAGCCTCCTAGGAATTCAGAAAGAAAACACATTTCAAAAGTCTGAAATCAGAGATTGCTCAAGAATGCAAGTCCAGGACATTTTTTGAGAACTCAGTTTTGCCAAGTACTCAGTGTCCCTCTATTTAATCTACTCAAGCTTCAACTCCAACTACTTTCAAGACCATCCAAAAGGAAGAAAGTCACAATTCAGCACAATTTCCTCCACCACTTCTACTTTTCAAAACTATTTTCCTTTAGGTTTTCTAATACATGAAATTGATTTTTCATAGCTCCCATCTTCCTAAATACACTGGCTTTTTTCACTTCTTTAAAACTTATTGCTCCCCCCCTTGCTTGGTAATTTAGCCAAGCAACTCATTTCCTGCAAAGCAGCTGGGTTACCAGGGCAGGGACATTCATGCAGGGACATTCAGTGGAAGCCCAGAGAGAACTGGGCAGCCAGACAGCATTTAACCCAAAGCAACTCACACCTTTGGGTACTGTCCTTCACCTGGGCCTCACAGAACTCCCTCACTCAGGATTTCCACTACAGCAAGCTCACTCAGCACAGCTCCTTCGACAATAAAGGGCTGGAGGTGGCAAAAAGCCTCTCCAAAAGACTTGGTGTCTGCATAATGCCCCAGTTTAAAAGGAGCCATGGAGGCACTGGGAATTCCTTGCTGGGTGAGCTGTGTGTGTAGCAGCAGCAGAACCCCACTCACGTGCTGGCTGCTGTCCAGGCAGTGGGGTCTGTTGGTCAGCGGGGCCAAGGGTTTGCGGAAAGGCGAGCGGTAACACTCCCCAGTCTCTGCCTCAGCAGCTGCCTTCTGCCTCTTCCGGCCCTGGAACACAGAACAGACCCAAACAGTTCAGGGGGAGCAGAGATGCTCAGCAGCCACGCTCTGAAGCCACACTCAGCAAGCACCAAAGCACACAGACCATTGCCCAGGCACTGGAGCAGCTCTGAGCACACACAGCCATCACTCAGCCCGGCTGCCACAGGACTCACTCAGCAAGGTCACTGAACCTTGGAGTTTGATTTACATGAAGCTTAAAGCATTCTCCTAGTTAAGGAAATAACTACCCCTTTCGAACCTGTAAAAGGGCAGGCTTGTGCACACTAAGATTTGTGCTGTCCCGCCACTCAGAAGCAAAAACAAAATTAAGAAAAGGAAGGGTCAGTAGCATGGAACAAACAACATCAGTCCCCAGAGGCTCCATGACACCTGGTGTTATGCAGGTGGAAGGCCTCACACTGAACCCTACATTTCAAACACTTAGAAAAACATGAAAATAAATAAGTTATTGATCTGTTTCCTGATTTAACACAGTCCTCTTCAGCATGAGGCATGGTTTCAACCACACAAAAATGCACACAAAAATGGATCTGACACAAAAAACACTGCATGCGGCTCTTTAACCTCTATAACATAGAACATTACTGTAAATTAGGATTAGGGCTGGTACTCGTATCATTATAAATGCCTAAACGAGGTCTTTACTGTCTCTTACAGATAATCGGTGAAACTGATCCTCCCCCTGTCCTGTTACAAAAACATGTAACATTCTGTCTTGAACAGCCTAGGTACTGAGAGGAATGGCAGATTTGTCTTTACAAACGAGCTGTGGGTCTGCTGGTAGATAAAACTAGCACTGGGAGATAAAAGGAACAATGGAAAGGATTCTACTGATTGATTAATAGAAAAAGATATTTGCTTTCACAAATAAACTTTAGGTTTGCTGATAAACGAAATTAGACACTGAGAGATGAAAGAAACAAAGAGGAAGAAAAACCCCTTAATTCCGTAAGAATTAAAAATGAAAGGGGAGGGTTATCATTAGAGAGGAATCTTTGGTATCAGGAGTATTGGAGAGTCTGTACCTCTCAAGTACCTCAGCCAATAGGGAAAGAGAGAAAGGAAATGCGGCCGGGAAATTAAGATAAAAAAGAGGCTGAGTCCTCCAAAAATTTGAGAGATCCCAGAGGAATGCCCCATGGCCTCTTCCTTAATCGAATAAAGTCAGAAAAGATTCCTCTGTCTCCTTTTTGGACATAAACCTCTGGTGCTTGTAGATTAATTTTCTTAACACCACCCTTCCTTTCACACAGCCCTCGAAGCCCTCACAGGGATAAGTTTTTCCACAACTACGAAGCAGCATCTGTACACAATGAAGTTCTTCCGCCAGCCACACGCCAAGACACAAAGTTTCACGGCAGCACAGACGCGATGAGCAGA